GTTCCTATGCATAGAAATTTTAGATTGGTTTCAAAACTAACCACAATTGCCATTTTGTTTTGGTTTAGATGTTTTCCGATTTTTTAGACCAAACCAAATATTATTTTATATAATCAATATTTGTACCTATGCAATTAATTTTTATTTGAATTACTTTATACTTGCTTAAGTATTTATTTCTATGATTGTTTATTGCATTGGCATTGTAGAAATTTGAAATTTAGGCATTTGAAAGAAAACCTGAGTAAACTAAAGTCCTCAATGGAATAGCTGACCAAACCAAATTGAATTGATTTAATTTGGATGTTTAATTTGGTTTAGTTTGGTTTCAATTTGTGGAGCCAAACTTTTCAGTTTGATTTTAAAAATTCCTTCCAAACTGTATCATGACACCCATTGGGAATTATTCTCACTTATTCTCACTCGCTGCACGTTAAGTGATACCTTTAAATTTGTATTTGTTACTAAACATGTGCCATCTTTTGATTAGTTTGTGTCTTGCCCAGGTCAGAGTAGGTCAGGCTATTTATAAAGCTGCCAGTTTGTTCAACCATTCCTGCCAGCCAAACATTCATGCATATTTTATTTCACGCTCTCTCTTGATAAGAGCAACAGAGTTTGTGGCTGGAGGGTGTCCCCTGGAATTGTCTTATGGTCCACAGGTACTCTCTGTCTCTCATACGCACACGCATACACATTTTCTCAAGGGAAGGGAATGGTGACGTTACTTTTTTCTCTAGGGTTGTGTTGCATCGAATCTGTTGCAAACAGAGCAAGATCAATTTCTTAATTTAGAGTTTTATTTTACAGGTTGGGCAATGGGACTGTAAAGACCGCCTTAGATTTCTTGAAGAAGGGTACTTTTTTCGATGTTGGTGCCGTGGTTGTTCAGAAGTGAATGCATCTGATCTTGTAATTAGTGGATTTTGTTGTGTTAATCCAAATTGTTCTGGAGTGGTTTTAGATAATCTTGTGGCTAACTGTGAAAAGCAGAAACCTAAAATTCCAGAAACAATCAGCATTGATTCTCATTTGCAGGTACTTTAGTATCTTCTTGGTGCAATTTAGTAAGCATCAGCTATAAAGTAAAACAACGAGTACGGCCTAGCTGTTCGACCACAAAATTTTCAACTGATGGAGTTATGCTAAATACTAAATAAAATATTTGTTTTAAATTCCTATGTATAAATGGTTAAGACCTAATTAGTATTCGACAAGTGCCAATAATAGATGAATATTGCTGCAGGAATGACTTTTTCTTAATTAATTATTGAACTTTTATGAGAGACTGAATTAAAGCACGTATTATTTTTGTAAACATTATTATGTAATCTGTAGCCCATTTGTGGGGGAATTTTGTTGGTTTCTGCAGAGTTCATCAGATGGATCATGTAACTTTATCATTATATCTCCAGGTACTCGACCTCAATGATATTGACATCAAGGAAGTGGCTCACATTTCACTTGTGAAACACGTAATTGCCTCCGTATTGATTCTGGGTATTGCTTGAAATGTGGTTCCTACTGCAATTTGGCATCTAGAAGTGAAGCAGTTAAAAAGGCTTGGGTTCATCTCAGAAGGTCCGCAGTTTATATGTTCCAAAGCTTTTGTGATGTTAATGATTGTATTCTTTCTGAATCTGCAGAATCACATGGCAAGATCTTGGTTCTGTTATTTTCTTTTTTTTATTTTTAAATATAACTCATCAGGACTATCATCGTTGATTCTAGGCCGTACTTTTCTAATTCATTTTAAATTTATGTTGTAAAGCTTTAACTTACAATGTATGGATGTATGTATACTGCCCAGCTACAGAGAAGCATACCTGCTTTACCTACAGTCTGTTCGTTGCTTGATAGGTTGCAGGACTCGATAGCTTCAAAAGATATCTGCAGTACTAGGCTTTCAGATGCTTTGAGATCTCTTGGTCTTCTAAGATCAACACTGCATGCTTATAACAAAGGCATTGCAGAAGTGAGTTTCATTGACTAACTATTAACACCTCCCTTGAAGCTCTGCCAATCTGAGTTTAATAAGAATTACAACCACTAATAGTAGATTTAACCATCTGTGATATTGTCTTTTGCAGGCAGAGGACAATCTTGCAAAGGCATTTTGTTTCACTGGAGATTTGCAGCCAGCAAGAGATCATTGTAAAGCATCGATTGAGGTAACTGTTTGCTAGTGCAAGAATCATATTGCTACTCAACTCTGATGAAACATTAGTTTATGTTACCAGTTATAACTATTTAGTCATTTTGTTCACTGCTTTTTGATCTTAAGAATAATCGTTAAATTTCATATTAGTGCAGCTAAAATGTATAAAATGTTTTATTGGAATTGTTCAAATGAGAAAACATAATAATAGTTAAGAGAAAGGAAGAGGAAATGAAAATGGGCATTGTAAGGGGGGATAGATATTGTTCTCCCCATCTCTAAAGGCTTTTGTTTTGCTAAATTAATGCTTTTACTTTGAAAATGGAAGAGTGAGTAGGCCCACAATTAGAAAACAAAATTAGGATGGTGTCCAATGCCATTGCCACTACAGTTCAACTTTAACTTGTCTGAGAATTGATTTAACCCTGAAGAGAGACCCAAGTAATAGTCATCCCCTTTAATAAGCACTAGAGGCTTCCAAATCGTATTCTTTTATAAACTTTAAATGTCTGTAAACAAGGACTTTGTCAAACCTAATAAATCTTCTATATACCTCATTATCATTAAAGCTGTCACATTGAACTAATTGTATGCACTTGGCAAAAAAAAACCTATCATATGCAAGTGTTGGCCATTGTTTATCACGACCATAGAGCACATAAAGAAAAGGACAACAAAAAGGAATTGCATCAAAGTCTTGGGGCACTACTTCTAAATTTTCGTCTGATTGACCTGCAAATAGTGACTGTTTTGAATCTTAAGCTGTCTGTTATCTTCAACAACTTTATGGTTGTTCAAGCTAGACAGCATGTATCTTTTTGGAGAACTAAATTGCACTTGTATATTTAGAAGTCAAGTGTCTTTCACTATCACTGCCATATAGAAAACTTATTCCAGGAGTAGGTTTCCAGATGTCTCGAGATGCCAAAAGCTACATCCATATGGTGGTGTGCACGCATAAACTACCTAACATGAGATTCAGGAAATTGTATAACATGCTAGGTTAGGAGGATCACTCTTTCCCATTATTTGCAGAAAGTCTCGATGAAATTTATTTTGGTCCTACATTTTAATCATTAATTATACAAGGCCTTGTGAGGGGCTATTATAAGTTTCCAATTAATGATGTTTGAACAAGATTTTCATAGTTTTGTTTTTGGTTGCAGATATTGGAAAAGCTCTATGGCCCCAATCACATTGTGATTGGACACGAATTGGTTAAGCTTTCATCTATTCACCTATCGATGGGTGATTGTACTGCTGTGGACAACATAAGTCGACTCAGTGTTATATTTTCCAAATATTATGGACCACATGCAGGCATTATATTTCCTTATCTACTGTTTCTTGAGAAAGAAAGTTGCCATATCATACACTGAAAATACCAAATTTTTTTCTAGTTTGAGAAACTGATAGTTCATAGCATCCCACAATATTTTTTCTGGAGTTGTGGGCGCCATCTTGGCTTGATGTCAATTATGTATATGCCTATAAATGAGTGGTTTTTCATTGCAATGAACAAAGTGCAAGTATTAAACTCTTATTACTCAATAGGGTAGGTCTTGATATATATATTTATCTCTCTTAATAAAGTATCTAAATTATTTACGACTGCTCAAAATTCAATGGCAAATATATATGTGAATTATAAGATAAAAATAATCTTCCTTATATAATTTATTTATCTCTGTACTTTTTTTTTTCAATCATGAATATATGACTAAATAGATGTTGATTTTGGATGAAATGTTTGATTTGATTTTCAATTAAGGATCTAACATTATATTTGTGTCAAATTAGCCTAAACTTTTGGGATGGAAGTTGGCTTACAGTGGATAGCATGGATCCAAGCTTTTATGTATTGAAAGGAATGAATATTATGCAGCTGCCTTCACTCCAAAGATTTAGCTGAAGTTGGCAGAAATTGAAATTGAGAGCGTTATCTCAAAGTTTCTTGCAGCAGCAAGGTGGTGGTGTGATTTGGAGAATACAAGGTTCAATTTATTAGGCTGCTTATGTTTGGAATGAATTGAGACATAAACGATACCGGTGATGATGGTTTGGTTATTTAGATTAATACACAACATTACAGGTTTTGAAAAGTCTGGTTATTTAGATTAATGTATAACATTCTAGGTTTTGAAAAGTCAATCTAATTTTGAATCGAATTCTTTTAATAATTGATTTCATGTAAATTGAATTTTATTGATTTGATTTATCAAATTTTAAATTTGTTTTAGTTTTAAATTATTTTAATATAATTTTTAATATATTTAAATAAATTTAGATATAAAATAATTATTTTTATTTTATAAAAATTTAAAAAATATAAAAAACTAATAAAATATATAATAAAGTTAACATATTTTTAATTTTTAATTTTTGATTGAATTAATATAAATATTTAATATCCAAATTTAAATTAAATCAAATAAAAAATTAAATTGATTCCAATAAAATATTATAATTTTTAATTAATTTTTTATTTTTAAAATTTTTTTTTTTAAAAAAATCTTCTTACATCAGTATAAATGTTATACCTTTTTAACTCTTAGATCAAAATGGCAAAATATTAATATTATAAATTTAATTTTGATCTAACAAAATATAATAGTTACAATAATATAAGTAGGTTGTCTTCTTGTTTTTCATCCCTAATAGGCAAGGCCGAGGATTATAATAAAATAATATTATGAATTTAGTCAATCATTGGACTTTAAAAGTATGTCGGGCCAGGCCTACAGGTCTGGTCTATCAGGCCGCCCAACCTGTTTTTAATTTTACCTTGAGGGAAAAAAATAAAAGAAATAGCTTAATAATAATAAGAATAAAGAAAAAAACAAAAAAAAAGCCGCGGCAGACGGGCTGTAGTCAACGCTAATGAATGAGAGGTCTGCGCGTGGAGTTGCGGCAAATACGTAACGCGACTTTTGATTTGGAACATCTGAGATTGGGATCCTTCTTTCTTCTCCTTTCGACAATTTACATTTCTTTTTCGTTTCTATCGAAATAAGGGATATTTCTTTGCAGTGGTCTTATTTATCTGCTTGCCGATAAGAACCAGGAAGGGAATTTTCGCTTTTCAATAAAAATTTTCAAATCAAGAAAATTAAAAAAAAAAAAAGAATACTGCAAGTCATCGATCGGGAATGGTGAAGGAGACAGAATACTACGATGTGTTAGGGGTCAGCCCTTCCGCTACAGAGGCTGAAATCAAGAAAGCTTATTATATCAAGGTGATTATTTCTCTCTTGCTTTCACCATCACAGTTAGATTGGGTAATCTTTTCTGTGTAGATGGTTAATGTTGGTAGATCCGTCGGCAAACCATCCTTGATCGTTAAATTAGAGCTACCCATACTCATGGAAAGTCGATACAATCCAATTTACCCTGTTTTTCTTAAGATTTATTTACTCGGTCCTAATAATTTCCCCCTTTCTCATTCATTTTTTTATATACAGTATATCCTTATTAGGTTACAGCTCTCTCACTACTGTTCCTCAGCATTTTTTAGCATTCAACTCTTCACTTTATGGGTGGTGGTCTTTTCAGATAAAACCCTCACTTTGTTTATTGTATGCAGGCACGGCAGGTTCACCCAGATAAAAATCCAAATGATCCTCTAGCAGCACAGAATTTTCAGGCAAGCCTTACATTTTGCATGTTCATCACCCAAAAAATTATAGTTAAAATAATGGTTTCTCTTATCATAGTCTGTTGCTAGTAATTGCCATTAGTATCATCTCTACCTTACATGCAAATAACGTTTCGGCACCACTAACTCACCGACTTTGGCACTGCCAAATGCTGGCCGACTGGAATACTAGATCAGTTTTTTGTTGTTTAACATTGGCAAAAGTTTATATCACTTTGCTTTACACCATTTCTTTCAGAACAGAATTAAGCAGACCTCTGCTTGGAAAATGAAAATTGCAATGAGGAATGCCATGTGATTTAACATGAATACCATTAATCTCTTTGCCATTTCTTACCCTTGTTCTATATAAGGTGCCTCCTTCTTAAGTTGTTTGGCTTCCTAGTCTTAAGAAGGAATTTTATGAAGTTCAATTTCAGCATAACTTCTTTTCTGGACCTTGACCCCTTAAAAATTTTATTTTCTTGATTGAGCGAGAATTACTCACTCTTATCATCATGCCATGAATTGATAAGTTGTCTGCTATTGTTAAATAAACACTTGAAAGCTGTTGGGTAGAGAATAGTGATCCTATATCTGAATCTTAGTGCTTGTAGAACAACAACAAACCTAGGCCTTTTCCCACTATACGGAGGTTAGTTGTGCGAATCATATTATGTTAATATGGCTTTAATTAAGGCCTAATCGTCATATCCTCAATAGAGCAAAAAAAGGCAGATGGAAATTGTTTAAATGTACAGTTATATGGGCAGCCTTTTAAACATTGTAAGTGTCAGGTGCAAACTGTTTCAGTGTCTGCTTGTACTGTGTTCATTGCATCTATTCTTGACCTCAATATTGGTATTAAATCTTTCTTGAGAAGTTTTATTTTTAAGTTTTACCCAGGTGTTGGGAGAGGCTTACCAAGTATTAAGTGATCCGGCACAACGACAAGCATATGATGCTTATGGGAAATCAGGAATCTCAACGTTAGTTTCCTATTCTTATTCTATGAATATGTGAATCTTAAGGTTCATAGGCTGTCTAAAAAAATTGAAAGTGTAATATTATTTTCATGGAATTTATTTGATGGTTTTCCTTTCTTGCAGTGAGGCAATTATTGATCCGCAGCAATATTG